AAGTATTAAAGCAACTGAAGCAGCAAGCATACTGACGAATGTACAGAAGTGTAACTTGACTGCTGCTTTAATTGACTCTGACGTAGGTCTAAACGAAGGCTGGGACGCACCTTGGCCGAATCAAGTTGCAAACGAGGTATCATTGACCCATCAAAAAAAACGAATAACTGCCGACCTCCCATCGGTCGGCATTCTCCCACACTTGACAGCTTCACCTCTCTGCGGGCTCCTAGAGACCGAGAAACTGGCCTGCTTGTATACAAATGCTCAGGGACTTTCTAACAAACTGGCTGAACTGAAAGATCGCCAAGCTTCCGGCTCGTATGATGTCATTGGTATCACCGAGACATGGTTGCACACGGGAATGACGGACGCTGAAGTGTCGCTACCCGGCATGTCGCTGATCCGGAACGATAGGCTCACAAAAGGAGGAAGGGTAATCCTGTACTACCGAAACGACTTACAGTGCGAAGCCGTGGAGGATTCAGATTCGCAGTTCCCCGACTCTCTTTGGTGCCGGTTGCAGTTAAAAGGCAGGGACGCTTGCCTTATTATCTTGGTGTACCGCGCCCCTAACTCAACACCCGAAACCGACTACCACCTAATGGCTGCTTTAAAGTGCAGTTTACAACAAAAGTACACTCACATTCTTATCATGGGTGATTTCAACGTACATTGTTTAGAAGCCCCTGCCACGACCGGAGAACAATTCAAAACCGATTTACAAGATCTAGTAACTACTGTTCCTCTTTACAACCACATCACTTTGCCCACTCGGTTCAGAACTGGTAACAGGCCATCTGTGCTGGATCTTGTGCTTACCAACGAGGAGCATATGATTGATGCGTTGGTTTTAGACTGCCCGTTGGGTCTCAGTGATCACGCAGTGATCAGTTTCAACTTCGTCTGCTATGCAGAATATCTGAATGAGAACGATGAGACTGTGCGAACCATCACAAGGTACGACCGACTCGCCCAGCTAGTCAGCGTCACAACATGGTCTTTCCTCGAAGAAGAACCCCCGGAAGTCGCCTGGCTCGAGTTCGTCAACACATTCAGTCAGCTGATTGCACAGGCTTCAGAGATAAAAGCTTGCAATAAGTGCAAATCCGTTTCTTTCGTTAGGAGCAGAACCCGAAAATGGATGACAGTACGCAACGCAGCATGGCGAGTGTACAGAGAAGCTCCAGCACCAGAAACTTGGGACAACTACGTAGCCCAACGTAACCACTGCACTCAACTGTTAAGAGAAGACAAAGCCGCCTATCAGCAGAACATCGCAAAAACCTTCAGTGCTAACCACAAGCTGCTGTACAAGCACGTTAATAGCCTACGAAAGGTGAGGCAAGGATTTCCTCCACTCAAGACGGCTGATGGCCCAACAAGAACGGCTATGGAAGCTGCAAATGCGCTGCAGATGCAATACGCCCCCACGTTTCAAAGAGTCTTGCCACCAAGCGATCTACCAAGCTTTGTATTCTGCTCACCAGGACTAACCCACATCAATTTTACCGCAGAGGCTGTATTGCAAAAGCTGACTTCTCTACGCAAACACAGCTCGCCGGGTGTCGACGCCATTCGTCCTGAGGCATTGGGAGCAGCAGCAAACCAACTGGCAGGACATTTAGCTCAGTTTTTTCAGCACTGCTTAGACCAGAACCAAGTTCCCGCCATGTGGAAACTTGGAATAATAAGCCCGATTCACAAAGGTGGAAGCAGAACTGATCCCTCCAACTACCGCCCAGTAACCCTTCTTCCTATACTCTCCAAGGTCATGGAATCCATAGTTGCCGATGCACTGGTGTGCTATCTGGAAAACTGCAACCTCATCACTCCTGAACAGCACGGTTTCCGTCGACAGCGGTCATGTACAACTAATTTACTAATTGCACGCAGTAGTTGGACCGAGGCAGCCGACGCTGGAGAAGGTGTTGATGTGATCTACCTGGATTTTTCCAAGGCTTTCGATCGTCTAGACCATCGGATACTACTATCCAAGCTGCAGCATTACGGGATCGGCGACCCTCTTTTAAGCTGGATCGCCAACTTTCTATTTCAAAGGCAATTAGTGGTCAGTGTTCGGAGCTCTTTATCGGACCCCATACAAGTCGAGTGTGGTGTGCCGCAAGGCTCGGTTCTAGGTCCACGTTTGTTTTTGGTGTTTACTAATGACCTTGCACAGGGAATCGCTTCAAACTTCCTAATGTTTGCCGACGATATCAAGATCTGGCGTAGGATCCAGGCGAACGCCGACCAACATGTGCTTCAAAGTGACTTAGATACGGTGTATCAATGGTCGATCCAAAACTTATTGCATTTCAACGTCAGTAAATGCAAGGTGCTTTCCATCCGACATCAAAGCAGCTACTCATACCGACTCGGAACGGATGTACTGCAACAATCAACTCTCGAACGTGACTTGGGTGTCCTGGTTCAAGATGACTTGGGTTGCTCCAGGCAACCCGAAAAGGCCTCGAAGACCGGGAACCAACACGTCGGGCTGTTGAGGCGGGCGTTTGGACAAATAAACAGCTCCATATTTCGACAAATGCTCAGTGCGTATGTTCGCCCCCATGTCGAATATGCAATTCAAGCCTGGCATCCATGGCTGAAACACGACCTTAATGCACTGGAGCAGCCACAACGCCGGGCATCTAAGAACGTAATTGGAATGCGCAATCGGTCCTACCAGGAGAGGCTGCGACGACTAGGATTGTTCAGTGGAAGCTATCGCAGGCTACGAGGCGACCTGATTATGACATACTTGATTCTGCGAGACCCACATAATGTGTGCCGCCCTTTACTGCAACTCAGCAGCAATACAAACCTGAGGGGCCACTCATTAAAACTCGCAGAACAATACAGTCGTCTGGAGTGCCGCAGAAATTTCTTTTCCATCCGTGTCTGTCACCCGTGGAATGCTCTCCCAGAATCGGTCGTCTCTGCACCGACACTAACAATATTTAAAAGACGGTTGGACGATGCACTCATCCACTTACACTTTGTTACTTAACACTATGTCTCCATCCTACACCTGGAGTTTACCGTGGAATTATTTGTTGTTAACTGTGGGTGTTGTGAATCTAAGTGGATCGCAGGACTGCAGCGAAGCAAACGATAAGTCCTTATTTTCGTATTTAAAGTATTAACTATTTTACTATCCTTTTCATCATAATTGTTATGTTGATATCCCCACCAACTATCCAACGGGGCTTGTAAAGCAACGCTTCTTAACCCGTATAAATTGATTGTTCATTGAGTCTAAAACGCAACCTTGTCCGTTGTCTAACGGAAAGCATGAGGTAAATATGCACGGAAGATACGCTGTCAGATGAACTGAGTTTTATTCGAAGCGTTCACGAACAAAATGGTTATCCGGACAAATTCATCCGGAAACATATGGGGCCACGAGCACCAAAAGTCCAACCAATCAACGCTGAAAAGCGCTTAATCTACTTATCACTGCCTTTCAAGGGTGTGTGATGGCCGAACGAACTACTCGAAGGCTCCGCAATGCAACATCGAGAACCTACTTTGCAGCTGACCTCCGTGTCAGCTTCACTTCTACGCCAGTCGTGAGTCAGCATCTCAAGGACAGATTGTCGAGGTGGAATATTTCCTTCTGTGTGTACCATTTTTCCTGCTCGTGTCGAGCAAGTTATACTGGAAAGGCGACCAGGAGACTGTCTGAGAGAGTCCGAGAACATTGCCCGGCGTGGCTCCACACAGTGTCAGAAAGACAGTAGTCAGAGCGGTGCTGGGGCATTTGGCCGACACAAATCACCAAGTGAATGTGCGAGAGGCCTTCGGACCTATCTACAAAATATCTGGGCGCCACACGCGAGCCCTCCGATGTCGCCTATTGGCGACAGCGGAAGAAATCGCTATTCGGCTCCAGAATTATGTGCTCAAAAGAAGTTTGTACAGGCTCTACAGGTGCCATGGCCTCAAGATTCCCCATGTTACGACACCACGCTTGACCCTTCCACTAATGATGCCCAAGCCAGTGTGGTCACTTGATCGCATTGACCGGTCAATTCACTTCATTGATTCATTGTGTTGACCTGATGCGAACCACCGAAAACAAGCTTGTTCGCCTAACTGTCTTTTGATTCTGATGTGATTTCAGGGATTTTCTCAGTTGAAATCAAGGTCGTCGCCTACGTCTTACCAGGGCAAGGCAAGACTGGCCACAAGGTCGACCTGATTGCAAAGGTTAGGTTACATTCGTCGGATAGCAGAGGCGTCCGTGAAACGAAGCAAGCTTATATTGTTTTGTCTGCTGATAACCTTGAATGTGTTACGTGGGTTTTCGCACAAGGTACAATCGAGCATATACTGAGCGACTGAGCTGGCAGGTAGTTTAGTGCCACTATTTGCCATGTTCCGTGGAACATGTTCCATGATCCTAGTTGATAGCCTCCTCTCGGTTCGGCCAATGTACATGCTATCGCAAGTACAGGTGAATTGGCGGTAATCAATGTCACTGAGGTTGGAAAGCCAATATTGTGTATGAACTCCTAGCGTTTGAGACAACTGCAGCGGCGGTCAACCAGCTGCAAAGATGTTAACTAGTCGTATTGGACAGATCTCGCACAATTCGTAGTCCTTCATACTGTCATGCTGGTAATTAGCACGACAGAGCTTATTCTTGTACTTTGGAATGTAAATGCCAGAAAACCAACGGTGATGATTTATTCAGCAAGTTTCCGAAAACATGCAAGGAAGAAATTTTGTCACACGATCAATCAACGCGCCACTGATAGCAAGAGACGAGGACCGGTACTAAATGGGAAGGGTAGGTAAGCCCCGATCTTATCATACAGGAGCAAGATTGGCTGATGGTCGATTATTTCGCTTCAGTACCAAATGCGATTGATGAAAAGAGACCAAAAGAAAGCAAATAAATCGAGTGCATTTATCACAAGAATAGAAAGTATGTACAAAGTGGGAAAGTAGCTGATCACTTGTTCGGTTTAAAATGATATAAGTAAATAACTCTAGTTGAAAGAAGTGGCACAGAATCGTGAGCTGGGCCATGCGACGATGTGGAGAAAATTGTCCGCGTAGGACATATGCTGGCTGGCCCATTGAACTGGAGTCTCTAGTGGCAAAGTTATTCCATGAAGAAGGAACACGTAACCTGAAACGGACGGGAATTTATGTGAGGGCATCATAAAGTACCTAAGACAGGAAAAACGACATAACAACATATCTAACTTCGACCTCAAAATTGATTTGGTTCATGAACCAACAGAATTGCAAGGAGCCATCCCACGTCCCAATAATCCATGCATCGACAAAGAAAGACCGCTCAAGGTTCACGGAGACCAACAATAAGAGACCATACAAAAGGAAGAGTGGTTGACGACGCTCGGATCATACATGCAAATCGATATAGTAACCGGTTGAATTCGGTCCCGGAATCGCTGGAAGACCAGCTGTCGCAAGCAGAGCAACTATTTCCTAAGAGGAGATACATAATTTAGATTAGTGAAAAAACGTTTGCAACAGGAACAGTGGATGAAGTGGTATCACAAATTGCGCAAGTGCAAGCAGAAATCAGTTTGAAAGACCGGGAGTACGGTGTGATAGCTGGCGCAATCAATATTACTGCAAATTATATATATATATATATATATATATATATATATATATATATATATATATATATATATATATACGTATATATATATGGAGAGAGAGAGAGAGGGTTGGCGGCGTCGGTTTCCGGATGAGCCTGTCACTGCGGCCTCCACAGGGACAACCACAGGACGCCTGTGCCTACAGAGGGACTATGGGTGGCTTGCGCTGCATCATCCACAGCTCCATCCACACACCCCATATCCAGTGTAAACCCGAAGGAATAAGACCGGGAGGCATGTGGATGGGAGCCAAGTTTCATCAACGGAACCGTCCCACACTCCTTCACACGCAAAAACAAGCACGCTGTATTTGGGGAATCAAGTGCCCACAATGCGGTGACTGGACCGTAGTCCGCTCCATACCTGGTGCATGGAATCACTCTTAGAGCCTAGGACGGCCACAAGCACCTTGCACCCCGTCCCCTCCAGTAACGACTTAGAGTCTCCTGGAGCCAGTAATGGAGGTGGAGGGCGTTAGACAATTAGACACCTTATCAACATGGATATCCAGCGCAGCCACACCGGGGATGTCAAACAACAGCCAATCACTTGAAATGACACAAACAAATAAAATATATCTGTTAAAGTATACCACTATGCAGACATAACTCTTCGCTAAATAAGCATATGAAGTACGCTGGTTAGCAACGAATCAGCGATAAATACAAAATGTACATAAGTTATTCAAAAATGCTACAAACGCGAGAAAGTTAACGAAGATAAACACAATTAGCGTAAGCAATGTGTGCAAGTTAATAGATTAGTCAGGCAGGCAGAGAAAACAGCCTTTAGTGCGCTGAGGCTTGTGGTGGTTAGATCTTGACAGATGGTCTATAATAGAGGTAAGCGGAGCCAATGTCCAGATATGAGGTCGCGCACAGGCTTACCGCGGAGCACGTGAGCTGTCTGCTGCATGCGAAGGTCACCAGCACGAGCATGAAACGACCAACGACTGTTTTGACAAATTTGGGAATCGGCTGCAAACTGATTGGCCAGCAAATACAAGCCCAAGTCAACGGAGGCGAACCATTCTGCCAAATATGGAAAATCCGTGGGACGGAATTAACTCACATTGGCTGAGAGCCAAACGCTTCCAAAATTAGTAGGTTTCGTTCACCAATAAATAGAACTGACCTATCGCGTAGAATAGACCCCCTGTTTACCGAGCCTTGACCTTCTGTATCCCGTCGGTTGGTTGGGCGCGTGACTGAGCAATCGGGCGGTCGTAGTCTCGCAGGCGCAGAATAGCAGCAGTACGAAGGCAGCTTTACAACAGTGGCGACAGGAGTCAGAAGAACCCAAAGATGACGTCAGTTTCGAACAATTGCAGACTCTGTTGCAACAACACCAGGCGCAGTTTGAGAAAGCACAGGCCAAGTTGATCGAAAGTCTGACCAAGAATTCGTCACTACAAGCAGGCTCGGTAACAGGAACCAGTGAACGTTGCCCCTCAGCAGAAACCCTGATGCCTGCAAGTTTGTGAGTTCCGTTACGATGCCGATGCCGGTATTACCTTTGAATCGTGGTTCCATAAATATGTAGACCTGTTTCGCGTTGATTTAGCCGGTGCTTCAGAGGACAACAGAGTTCGTCTCATGCTGCGGAAGTTGGGTGCGGCCGAGCATGAAAAACTTATGAATTTCATCTTACCGAAAAAGAGAACTGATTTAACATTCGATGAAGCGGTTGCTACTTTGTCCCAGATATTTGGAGAGCAGTCGCCATTATTCAATATCCAAGTGCCAGGCAATGACCAAGCGAGACGACGAAGACTGGGTTACTTACTCGAGTCGTGTAAATCGTGAGTGTGAACGGTCGCTGTTTCACAAGATGAGAGCTGATCAGTACAAGTGCCTTATTTATGTGTGTGGTCTTCAAGCAACCAAAGATGTTGATGCCCGAACAAGAGTACTGAGCAGAATGGAACAAAATCCCGAGATCACACTGCAGGAAGTGACGAAGGAATGCCAACGGTTGATGAACTTGAAGCATGATGCTGCGATGATTCAACAGTCATCCATCCAGAGTAGCCAGGACGTCATTTTCAGGGTCAGCCGAAGTCCTCAGAAAGAATCCGTTCATGTGAGTTCACCACATTCTAAGCCCTCTTCTGCCTGTTGGTTTTGCAGGGAATGGCACTTTGGTCGAAAATGCCCGTTCCAAAATCACATTTGCAATCGCTGTGGTAAGCGAGGACGCAAAGAGTCGTGTTGTCTTGCGAAGCGACCAACAATGAGCGGAATAAGGCGTCGAATCCCGGTGCGCTTCCGATGTCACGAGGCCAAAACTATGACGGCGACTTTCAAGGTTGACGGTGTCAGTATGCGTTAGTTTACAATGCTGAAGATCAGTGGTAAAGCTAAGCTGCAGCTGGATACTGCGTCAGACATCACTTTGATTTGTCGAGACACATGGTGTATGCTGGGACGACCACTGCTTGTCCACACAGACCACACAGCAGGAAACGCATCCAGCGGTATTTTGAAACTTCTCGGAGAGTTGCATCGTCAGGTCAGTTTCCGTGATCAGCACATTTGTACAACCTGTTTTGTGACAGATCAACCAGGATTGAATTTGCTGGGTCTCGATTAGATGGAGGAATTGAGATTACTTGATGTTGCGGGCACGTCAAATATTCCCGCAAAAACGCGCCAGAAACCCCGGCAGAATGGCTGTGGAAGTCAAGGTCCAATTCCGTCCCACAACGCAGCAGAGCTCAGCCACTCCGAGACGCGGCCCAAACTGCGCACCTTCTGACAATGGTCATTTGCAAACTACCACCTCTTCGTGGTGACTGTTTTCCATAACTTAATAACCCATAGCATTGGCTGTGATCGCCCTTTGTTGGTCGTAAAAGAGCCTACAGAGGACCACTTGCCTTTTCTTTCTCTTCGCCTTACTTGGAAGTCGGTCGGGTCACGTGATTGCGTGTCAGTCGTTAGCTGGCCAGCCTTCGCGTCTAAGCCATTAGCGCGCGTCTATCGTAACCCCCCTCTTGTGTGCGTCCGTTCCGAAGGCTCAGCGTCTATCCGAACACGTGCGGCTAGGCTTGTTCACACGCTCGCGCAACTTTCCGTCTCATCGGCTAAGCTAGCGTCATCAGGTCAGCGCAACTCCGATTGGCCAGCGTTACAAGTCGTCATCGTAGGCGTGCTCCAATCGTGCCAGCGACAATCTTATCAGGCAATTACGCAATCATAACAGAGGAGGCGTTCCCTCAATTATGACACTTGACCAGTTAGTTAACAGTATATGCCAGAAACTACAAGTCGAGAACCTCGCAGAGACGCAGAATATGAAACTCGAACTTTACAGTCAAATTGAAGAACTGAGGCGACGCCACGAAAGTTTATTCCAACCCGGTCTTGGATGCTGCCGGATAACCAGAGCTGAGCTGAACCCCAAACCAGACGCCAGACCAGTCTTTAGAGCAAAACGTCTAGTGCCGTACGCAACACAACCAACAGTGGAGTCTGAGTTAAATCGGTTGCAGTCGGAAGGCATAATCTCGCGCGCACATTACTCAGAATGGGCGGCACCCATCGTTGTGATTTTTCAACCGGCCTATATCGCATGTTGGAGAACCACCAGTACCCTTTGCCTATACCTGAAGATTTGTTCACCAAGCTTAACGGTGGAAAATGGTTTGCGAAACTCGATCTAGCTGATGCGTACTTACAAGTTCCAGTAGCCGAAAACCGCAGAACACTACTGACGGTCAACACGCATCTGGGTCTTTTCCAGTACAATCGGTTGCCATTCGGAGTGTAAACTGCTCCCGCCATTTTTCAACAAATCAGGGATACGCTGCTGAACGATATCCTTGGGGTCGCAGTATACCTGGATGATGCACTGATTATGGAGTCTGACTCACAAGTATTGCTGACCACGTTAGAGAAAGTGCTCACTCGGCTAGAAGAAGCTGGCTTCCGGTCACGAGCGGAAAAATGCGATTTCCTGATGGAAAGTGTCAAGTTTCTCGGGTTCATCATTGACAAACATGGCCGACGTCCGGATCCCGCTGATATAGAAGCCGTCAAGCAAATGCCACCACCAAGGGATGTTGCCGAACTTCGTTCATTTCTCGGTCTTATAAGTCATTATAATGCCTTCCTGCCAAGTCTACATCAGAGAAGAGGTCCTCTGAACGAGTTGCTGATGAAAGGGAAAAGATGGCGATGGACAAAGGAGTGCCAACAATCCTTTGACACAGATAAAGCAGCGCTCAGTTCTGATTTACTTTTGACCCACTTCAACCCAAACTTGGAGATTGTTGTTGCTTCGGACGCCTCCAATTATGGGGAAGGTGCTGTCATTTCTCACGTGTTCCTAGGAGGAGAAGAGAAGGCCAATGCGCACACAGCACGGTCGCTGACAGTGGCGGAGAAAAATTACATCCAGATTGAGAAGGAAGCGCTGGCGATTGTTTTCGCAGTGAACCGGTTTCATAAGGTGCTATATGGTAGACATTTCAAACTGATCACGGACCACAAACCTT